GTAAATATTGATTATATCAATGAAACTGTTTGGATATTTGAATATTCTTGTTATGTTCTCCCTTATTGTATTATTGAATACCCAGTTATACATTATGAACAGAGATAATGATTTATATGAATATTCGTCAAGATTAGAACGAATAGTTTGACAAAAATTGGGCGCCGAGTACGTAGAGAATTCGCTATATGTGGAAACGACATTTGAAATAATCTCAGGGATTGACATTTTAAAACAATAATCCCAACGTTTCATTCAACAACTTTGCTGGACCTCTTCATGGTAGAAGAATCAAAATCATCAAAGAAATATATAGAGTTTTAACTGTCAAATCAAATCACATCTGTACTGTGTTAATCCAGTCATATTATCATTTATTTTCAATACATAAATATTAGTGCAAAGGGGAACCGAGTACATATGCACCACATAAATTATTCGGTTTGTGTGAGAGCTGGTATAGTGCCCGGGTGCCTAAACCGAAGCAGGCAGTTTTCTTAGGAATCTACACTCAGGACCTTTGCCTGAGAGGTCTAATCCACAAGGCAGGGGAGCAACATCACAATATGCAGTCCCATTGTAGCCGGTGACCAAAAATAGGTTCATACACTAATTTTTTCCTTCAGGATCCTGGAACCCATGTGCAACATTGATTCGTAATCAGGGTTTTACAACTCCTCTGTGTGGATCCTCCGTATCCATCAACCCAATTGAGGCGATGAACATTCGATTTTCATCCTCTCAATTTCATAAATAACACCCGTGTTGAGAGAATGCAATGAATGGGATTTCTCTGGCAGTGGTTGTATGCACGTGGTCATATGAGAGCATTTGGAGAGGGAGATCTGACTCTCCCCACCCTCGGACGTACCAAGGCACTTGGGGGCAAAAAAATGAAAAAATCAAATAAATAAAAAATTATCAGTTTAGGGGTTGTGGAGATTGTTAAGTTTTTGATTGAAATCATGAGCCAATTGAAGCTAGACCACCATGGAAAACCAGGAAGCACTGGACGGCCGTCTCGTCCTAGTATGGGACTCCTCAGCAGTGCGCATCCATGACCCCACACCCCTCGAGATTTGAACCCAAGACCTATCAGTCTCAAACCAGGCGCTTAACCAACTAGACCACTGAGCCGGCATCCAATGGTATCATTTTTGTTTAACCTTAACCAATCCACGAAATTGCGCGATCATCTTCCAATGTGCTGAGGTCGACACCTGTTTCTACCCGACACGGATTAGCTCCACTGGTCACCTTCTATTCAAAAAGATTTGGGAGGAGGAACAAGTGCTGATGGACTAGAAAGAAGGACAATTCATCAAGATTCCAAAGAAAGGAGATTTGAGGAAATGCGAAAACTACAGAGGCATTACACCACTGTCAGTACTAGGGAAGGTCTTCAACAGAGTGTTGCTGAACCGTATGAAAGATGCAGTAGACGCCCAACTTCGAGATCAACAAGCTGGATTCCGTAAGGATCGGTCGTGCACAGACCAAATCGCGACACTACGGATCATCGTCAACAATCAGTTGAGTGGAACTCGTCACTGTTCACCAACTTCATTGATTATGAAAAGGCATTTGACAGTGTGGATAGGAGGACATTATGGAAACTTCTTCGACACTACGGAGTTCCTGAGAAGATCGTCAACATTATCCGGAACTCATACGACGGACTACAGTGCAAGGTCGTGCATGGAGGACAGCTGACAGACGCATTCCAAGTAACGATCAGGGTCAGACAAGGCTGTCTACTCTCTCCCTCTTTCCCCTTTCTTCTGGTGGTCGACTGGATTATGAAGACCTCCATCTGTGATGGAAAACACGGGATATGATGGACAGCTCAGAATCAATTAGACAATTTGCACTTCGCAGATGACCTAACCCACGTATCAAATAGACACGAAGAAACGCAGATAAAAACGGCGAGTTTATCAGCAGTCTCTGCATCAGTAGGCCTCAACACACACAAAGGGGAAACCAAGGTCCTCAAATACAACACGGAGAACAGCAATCAAATCACACTTGATCGCGATTCATTTACTATTCAATAGGGTGTAGATTACAAATTGTTGTATATTAATTTCAATAAATGTACTCACAAATGACTAGCATTGTCAGGGAATACGTAGAGTAAGTAAGTAAGTAAGTAAGTAAGTAAGTAAGTAAGTAAGTAAGTAAGTAAGTAAGTAAGTAAGTAAGTAAGTAAGTAAGTAAGTAAGTAAGTAAGTAAGTAAGTAAGTAAGTAAGTAAGTAAGTAAGTAAGTAAGTAAGTAAGTAAGTAAGTAAGTAAGTAAGTAAGTAAGTAAGTAAGTAAGTAAGTAAGTAAGTAAGTAAGTAAGTAAGTAAGTAAGTAAGTAAGTAAGTAAGTAAGTAAGTAAGTAAGTAAGTAAGTAAGTAAGTAAGTAAGTAAGTAAGTAAGTAAGTAAGTAAGTAAGTAAGTAAGTAAGTAAGTAAGTAAGTAAGTAAGTAAGTAAGTAAGTAAGTAAGTAAGTAAGTAAGTAAGTAAGTAAGTAAGTAAGTAAGTAAGTAAGTAAGTAAGTAAGTAAGTAAGTAAGTAAGTAAGTAAGTAAGTAAGTAAGTAAGTAAGTAAGTAAGTAAGTAAGTAAGTAAGTAAGTAAGTAAGTAAGTAAGTAAGTAAGTAAGTAAGTAAGTAAGTAAGTAAGTAAGTAAGTAAGTAAGTAAGTAAGTAAGTAAGTAAGTAAGTAAGTAAGTAAGTAAGTAAGTAAGTAAGTAAGTAAGTAAGTAAGTAAGTAAGTAAGTAAGTAAGTAAGTAAGTAAGTAAGTAAGTAAGTAAGTAAGTAAGTAAGTAAGTAAGTAAGTAAGTAAGTAAGTAAGTAAGTAAGTAAGTAAGTAAGTAAGTAAGTAAGTAAGTAAGTAAGTAAGTAAGTAAGTAAGTAAGTAAGTAAGTAAGTAAGTAAGTAAGTAAGTAAGTAAGTAAGTAAGTAAGTAAGTAAGTAAGTAAGTAAGTAAGTAAGTAAGTAAGTAAGTAAGTAAGTAAGTAAGTAAGTAAGTAAGTAAGTAAGTAAGTAAGTAAGTAAGTAAGTAAGTAAGTAAGTAAGTAAGTAAGTAAGTAAGTAAGTAAGTAAGTAAGTAAGTAAGTAAGTAAGTAAGTAAGTAAGTAAGTAAGTAAGTAAGTAAGTAAGTAAGTAAGTAAGTAAGTAAGTAAGTAAGTAAGTAAGTAAGTAAGTAAGTAAGTAAGTAAGTAAGTAAGTAAGTAAGTAAGTAAGTAAGTAAGTAAGTAAGTAAGTAAGTAAGTAAGTAAGTAAGTAAGTAAGTAAGTAAGTAAGTAAGTAAGTAAGTAAGTAAGTAAGTAAGTAAGTAAGTAAGTAAGTAAGTAAGTAAGTAAGTAAGTAAGTAAGTAAGTAAGTAAGTAAGTAAGTAAGTAAGTAAGTAAGTAAGTAAGTAAGTAAGTAAGTAAGTAAGTAAGTAAGTAAGTAAGTAAGTAAGTAAGTAAGTAAGTAAGTAAGTAAGTAAGTAAGTAAGTAAGTAAGTAAGTAAGTAAGTAAGTAAGTAAGTAAGTAAGTAAGTAAGTAAGTAAGTAAGTAAGTAAGTAAGTAAGTAAGTAAGTAAGTAAGTAAGTAAGTAAGTAAGTAAGTAAGTAAGTAAGTAAGTAAGTAAGTAAGTAAGTAAGTAGTAAGT